CATTCTCTTGTTTTTCTCTTTTTTTTCCTTCCAAATATTTATTTAAATTCTAGTTAGTTAACATATAGTGTAATATTGGTTTCAGGAGTAGAATTTAGTGATTCATCATTTACATATAACACCCAGTGCTCATAACAACTGCCCTCCTTAATACGCATCCCCCACCCCCCACCCACCTCCTTCCATCAACCCTCGGTTTGTTCTCTATCATTGAGTGTTTCTTGGCTTCCCTCTCTCTCCTCTTTTTTTCCCCCTTCCCACACATTCATCTGCTTTGTTTCCTAAATTCCACATATGAGTGAAATCATATGGTATCTGTCTTTCTCTGACTGACTAATTTCGCTTAGCATAATACACTCTAGTTCCATCGACATTATTGCAAATCATAAGATTTCATTGTTTTTGATGGCTCAGTAATATTCCACGGTACATCTATACCACTTCTTCTTTATCCATTCATCAATTGATGGATACCTGGGCTCTCTCCATAGTTTGACTATTGTTGATAATGCTGCTATAAACATCGGGGTGCATGTACCCCTTTAAATCTGTATTTTTGTATTATTTGGGTAAATACCTAGTGGTGTAATTGTTGGATCGTAGGGTAGTTCTATTTTTAACTTTTTGAGGAAACTCTTTACTGTTTTCCAGAGTGGCTGCACCGGTTTTCATTCAATCAACAGTGCAAGAGGGTTCCCCTTTCTCGGCACCCTTGCCAAAATTAGTTGTTTCCTGTGTTGTTAATTTTAGTCATTTGGACAGGTGTGTCTTGGTATCTCGTCATGGTTTTGATTTGTATTTCTCTGATGATGAGTGATGTTGAGCATCTTTTCATATGTCTGTTAGCCATCTGGATCTTTTCGTTGGAAAAATGTCTATTCATGTCTTCTGCCCATTTCTTAACTAGATTATTTGTTTTTTTGAGTGTTGAGTTTAAGTTCTTTATAGATAGTGAATATTAACCCTTCATCAGATATGTCATTTGCAAATATCTTCTCCCACTCTCTAGTCTGCCTTTTAGTTTTATTGATTGTTTCCTTTCCTGTGCAGAATCTTTTTATCTTAATTAAACCCTAATAGTTCATTTTTGCTTTTGTTTCCCTTGCCTCCTGTGATGTGTCTAGTAAGAAGTTGCTATGGCCAAGGTCATAAAGACTTCAGCCTGTGTTCTTTTCTAGGATTTTGATGGTTTCCTGTCTCACATTTAGGTCTTTCTTCCATTTTGAGTTTATTTTTGTGTACAGTGCAACAAAGTGGTCCAGTTTCATTTTTCTGCATGTTGTTGTCCATTTTCCCCACCACCATTTGTTGAAGAGACTGTCTTTTTTTCCATTGGATATTCTTTCCTGCTTTGTTGAAGATTAGTTGACCATAAAATTGTAGGTCTATTTCTGGTTTTTCTATTCTGTTGCATTGATCCATGTGTCTGTTTTTGTGACATTACCATATTGTCTTGATGACTACAGCTTTGTAACATATCTTGAAGTCTGGAATCATGATGACTCCCACTTTGATTTTTTTTTTCAGGATTGCTTTGGCTATTTGGGGTCTTTTGTTGTTCCATAAAAATTTTAGGATTGTTTGTTCTAGCTCTGTGAAAAATGCTGTTGGTATTTTGATAGGGATTGCAGTAAATGTGTAGATTGCTTTGGTAGTATAGACATTTTAAAAATATTTTTTACCTCTTGGTTAGGTTTATTCCTAGGTATCTTATGGCTTTTGGTGCAATTGTAAATGGGATTGAGTTCTTGGTTTCTCTTTCTGCTGCCTCATTATTGGTGAATAGAAATGTAACAGATTTCCTTACACTGATTTTATATCCTGAAGCTTTGTTAAATTCATATATGAGTTCTTAGTAAATTTTTGGTGGAGTCTTTTGGTATTTCTACGAAGAGTATCATGTCATCTGTGAATAGAGAAAGTTTGACTTTTTCCTTGTCAATTTGAATGACTTTTATTTCTTTTTGTTGTCTAATTGCTGAGCCTAGGACTTCTGGTACTATGTTAAATAACAATGGTGATAGTGGACATCCCTATCTTGTTGCTCACCATAGGGGAAAGGCTCTCAGTTTTTCTCCATTGAGAATGATACTAGCTGTGGGTCTTTCATATATGGTATTTATGATGTTGAAATATGTTCCATCTATCCCTACTTTGTTGAGGGTTTTTATCAAGAATGGATGCTGTATTTTGTCAAATGCTTTTTCTGCATCTATTGAGAGGACTATATGTTTTTTATCCTTTCTTTTATTAATGTGGTGTATCATGTTGATTGATTTGTGAATGTTGAACCCACCCCTGCATCCCAGGAATAAATCCCACTTGATCATGGTGAATAATGCCTTTAATGTACTGTTGTATTTTATTTGCTAGTATCTTCTTGAGAATTTTTGCATCCATGTTCATCAGGGATAATGGCTTCTAATTCTCCTTTTTAGTGGGGTTTTTGTCTGTTTTGGAATAAGGTAATGCTGGCCTTGGAGAATGAGTTTGGTAGTTTTCCTTTCATTTCTAGTTTTTGGAACAGTTTGAGAAGAACAGGTATTAGCTCTTCTTTAAATGTCTGATAGAATTTCCCTGGGAAACCATCTGGCCCTGGACTTCTGTTTGTTGGGAGATTTTTGATTACTGATTCAATTTCTTTGCTGATTATGGGTCTGTTCAAATTTTCTAAATTCTCCCTGTTTCAGTTTTGGTAGTTTGTATGTTTTTAGGAATTTATCCATTTCTTCCAGATTGCCCAGTTTGTTGACATATAATTTTTCATAATATTCTCTTATAATTGTTTGTATTTCTGTGGTGTTTGTTGTGATCGCTCTTCTTTCATTCATGATTTTACTTATTTGGGTCCTTTCTCTTTTCTTTTTGATAAGTCTGGTTAGGGGTTTACCAATTTTATTAATTCTTTCAAAGAACCAATTCTTTGTTTCATTGATCTGTTCAACTGGTTGTTTTTTGTTTGTTTCTGTATCATTTATTTCTGCTCTAATCTTTATTATTTCCCTTCATTGCAGTCTTTAGGCTTTGTTTCCTGTTCCTTTTCTATCTCCTTATGGTGTAAGATTAGGTTGTGTATTTGAGACTTTTCTTGCTTCTTGAGGTAAGCCTGTATTGCAATATATTCCTCTTAGGATAACCTTTGCTATATCCCAAAGATTTTGGACTGTTGTGTTTTCATTTTCATTTGCTTCCATGTAAATATTTATGCCCCCAAATTGGGAGCACACAAATATATAAATCAATTATAACAAGCATAAAAAAAACACATTGATAATAATACAGTAAGAGTAGGGGATTTTAACACTCCACGTATAGCAATCATCTAAGCAGAAAAATCAACAAGGAAACAATGGCTTTGAATGACACACTAGACTGGATGGACTTAACAGATATATTCAGAACATTTCATCCTATATCTTTTCAATATCTATGTCCTCCCCCAAGTTAGGGAAGTTTTCTGATATAATTTGTTCAAACCTTCTGCTCCTTTTCCTTTCTCTTCTTCTGGGACTCTTTTCATACGAATGTTATTATGCTTTATTGAGTTGCTGATTTCTCCAAGTCCACATTCGTGATCAATACCTTTCTTTACCTCTTTTTTTCAGCTTCATTATTTTCCATAATTTTTTCTTCTATACTAACTGATTTGTTTCTTTGCTTCATCCATCCTCATTGTCATTACACCCATTTGGTTTTGCATCTTGGTTGTAGCATTTTTTATTTCAGCCTGACTAATTTTTGGTTCTTTTATCTCTGCAGTTCTTTTATCTCTGCACCTTCTCTAGTGTCTTCTATGCTTGTATCAAGCCAAGCTAGTACTCTTATGATTGTTGTTTTAAATTCTGTTTCAAACATCTTTCTTGTATTTGCAGTGATTAAATCCCTGGCCATGACTTCTTCCTATTCTTTCTTTTTTAAAAATTTATTTTAATTTTTTAATTAACATATAATGTATTATTTGTTTCAGGGGTACGAATTCCCCATCTTGTCATTTTGTCTGGGTCACTGTTTTTTGGTGTGTGTGATTGTTAGGAAAGTCTGTTTTATTCCTGCTCCTGAGAATAATGACTATGTTAAAAAGAGGTCCAAAACAAAACAAAACAAAAAACAATCAAAAAAGAAGCTAGATCCTAGGTGTGTTTTGGTCTGCTTGTTAAAAGAAGCTAGATCCAGAAAAAAAAATAAAATAAAATAAATTTCAAAAAATTAAAAAAATTGTTTTAAAAAGGAAGCTAGATCTTAGGTGTGTGTTGGTCTGTTCATTAAAAGAAGTTAGATTAAAAAAATAAAAGGCGGGGGGGAAGCTAAATCCTATTTCCCCTAGAGTTGAAGGTTTACAGCACTCTATGACTTGGTGTGTGTGAGGAATTTGTGTTGGGATTCCGGGGGAGGGACAGGCTACTCTGAATCTCAGATGAACTTGCCCTAATGAAGATGCACCTGCAGGGCACGGGACGGGGAGGGGGCGGGGGGGTTTGGGGGGGGTCACCCACGGGGAGGTGCTGTAGGACTCCATGTAAACAGCTCTGGCCTCCACTGGGTGGTGCTGTTTTGCTCCCTGAAGTCAATAAGTGCTGATGGGGATGGAGAATGGTATTGCCCCACTCTTTCATCCCTAGAGCAGGGAGCTCACTCCCACCACTCTTCAGGAAGCCCTCTCAGAAGAGCAAACAATTACTCTCTTGTGTCCCAGGCTTCTGCTAGATCCCTGCCTTCACCCTGCCTGTGTCTGAGTTGTCCACCTGCCAAGCAGCATAGCAGTCTTGTGTTTTATCTCAGGCACAAGTGGCTGGGTTTCAAAACTCCAAATTTAGAGATCCACGCAGTCTGGACTGGTGCTGATCCTCTGGGGGAGGGTCTTGCTGCACTGTTGCCAGTGCCTGTTTGTCCCAGAAATCGGTTGTACCACCATGCAGCAATTCATAGTTTATGGTAAAGTGCAGCTAAAAGCTGACATGAAGGTCTGCTGCCCTCAGGCGGTGTCTTTGTTCCTATGCTAGGGCACAGGACAGCATGCTGGTGCTGCTGGTTCTTTTGCCCCTGAAGAGGCTGTGCCACCACTCTCAAATACTTCAAGCAGCTTCCCTGTGACCCAGCGGACCCTCAGACTACGCTGCCCACTCCTGTATCTCCACCCTCCTTCTCCACTGGTGTACCACCGATTCTGCCAAGTACAACCCTGGCCATGGTGCAGACCTCCAAAACTTCAGACTCTGTGCTCTGAGTATTCAGGGATGCCTGGATGTCTCAGTCAGTTAGGCATCTGACTCTTAATTTCAGTTCAGTTCATGATCTCAGGTTCATGGGATCAAGCCCGGCCTTGGGCTCCACTTTCAGTAGGGAGCCTGCTTGGGATTCTCTCCATCTCCTTGTGCCCCTCCCCCCACTCACGTTCTCCCTCACTCTAAAATAAATAAATAAATCTTAAAAAACCAAAATAAAACAAAACAAACTTGTGGTATTCGGCCCCTCTCCCTTTCCCAGTCAGTGGTTTTGGAAAAGTTTCTCTTGTGCAATTCCCTCTACGTGCTTTCACTCTCTCGCTCTCTCTTTCTTTCTTTCTCCCTCACTCTTCTTTCCATGATCAAGGCTCCCTCCCCTTCGTAGCACCTGCAGCTCTTCTCTCCCCCAAATCAACTCTCCACAGATCTTACCTTCCAGGATGTGGCATTTTTTTTTCTACCTCTAGTTGTGCAATTTTGCTGTTTCCATCCTCAGATCGGTTTTTTGGGCGTTCAAAATGATCTAGCTGTGTTCAAGGGATGAGGCAAGCTTCGGGTCCCCTTACTCCTCCACCATCTTAACCACTCCTCCCTATTTGTTTTTCAGCTAATATTATCTAGTTCTCTCCACCCACCAAATGATAGGCTTCTAAAATCTACCCCAACACAATGCACAAACTTCAACAGTCATGCATAGCATTTATACAAATTGTATCTGTTTGTAGATTTATCTTAATTAGACTTTGTTGCAGGAATACCTCAAAAATAAGGATAGTATCAGGGTCATATTGGAATGCCTAGAAATGTAGTATTAACTTAATATAAACTCAAACTTAACATGGTCTCCATAAATATTTATCTTGCAATACTGTTAGATAATTAATAAACAAAATGAAATTCCACTTAATAGAGTGAAAGTAGAATTTTAAACTGCAATAAGAGTTGCCAAAAGGTAATAAAACAGCTCCCAAATACTGAAAGACATTATCATTCTAAAACTGTATTTCCAGCTAAACTACAATTAAAGAATAAGGTAAAATAGTCTCAGCAAAAATGAAAAGAAAACATGAAAGTGCTTCTCTAAGAAAATTTTAATGACGTGTTTATCAAAGAACAGTTAACCCAGAACAACACAGGTTTAAACTGCACAGGTCCACTTACACCTGGATTTTTTTTTTGAGAAAAATATAATACAATACTGTAAATCTATTTTTTCTTCCTTATGATTTTCTTAACATTTTCTTTTCTTTGTCTTACTTTATGGTAAGTATACAGTACATACTACCTATAACATACAAAATATGTATTAATCAACTATGTTATCAGTAGGCTTCTGGTCAACAGTAGACTATTAGTAGTTAAGTTTTTGGATGGTTAAAAGTTGTACTGAGATTTTCAACTGCACAGAGGGTCAGCACCCATAATCACCACATTTTTCAAGGGTCAACTATATGTTTTACTAGGAAATTTCTATTTTTAAAAAAGAACTGATGTTAAAAGAACCTGTGAGCAAAGAAGGTGGTATATATATGAGTGATTTCAATTAGCATCATCTGTATAAAACACACAACTAATGATAATGACTAACTTGGGCATGAGAATCATAGAACTAAAATATTTGACAACAACATGTAAGGTGGCAAGGAGTGGGTTATGGATAAGAGTTAAACTGTGCCAAGGCCTTGTATTATTTGATAGTAGAGATGTTAATTAAGATTATATTCTGTTAGATTTTAATGGCAACCACTATAGGTTGTATGTAGAATGTTGATCTTCTGGATCAGCAAAATAAGTATAAAATTACAAGGAAAACTTAAATGACTCAAAAGAATATAAGAGGACGGAAAACAGGCTAGCTAGACCTAGAGAAGTAACTATAAAATTTACAGTCACATCTTAGTAAGTCCCCAAATGTATCGGGAAAATTAGCCTCAGCAGTTAAAGAGCATAGATTTCTAGATTGGGAAAACTATAAAAGGAAATGCAATTTGGTGATAACTCTCCAAGAAGTTTCGTGTCAATGTATATGAAGAATCTCACATCGATTTACCTTTTTTAATTAAATAATACCATTTCTAGTAACTAGTAATTTATCCACAAGAGGTAATTAGAAATGGTAATTGAAGAAATATACACATACTGAGACACACATAAACACAGAAATGCTTCATGCTGTGCAAAAAAATAAGTTTCCCAAAACCCTCTATACAATAAGAACTAAAGTTTATAAATTTTAATTTTCTTTTATTTCTTTTCTTTTATTAGCAAATAGAAAAGATATAAAAATGCCACAATGTTAATGGAAATCCTTTCCTAATGATGGGCTTTTAGGTAGCCAACTTTTTTTTCTTAAATATTCCCTTGATATTTATGACCATGAAAATTCATTATTTTTGTAATCAGAAAAATACTGTAATTTTTCTGCAGTGGTGTGCTTCAAATGTACTTCATATGCAGGATAATTAGGTTGAGGCTCATAGTGCCGGGAGAATGTACATTGTGCATTTCTTTATAGTCTTACATGTGTATGTGTCATGTATGTGTGTGTATTACCTTGTACAAATTTTATAAGAAGCTTGAGGTAGGTGTTGTTATTATCTGTTTTTACAGATAAGGAGACTAAAGGTCAGGGAGATTACAATATGCAAGTTTGTAAGACTTTACCTAGTACTTGCTTTATAGATTCTGTGTTCTCTCTGCCAACTTCTCAAAATATGTATGGACTACTAATATATTTTTTAAATTTGTAGATCAATTTCTATAAAGTTACTGAATGGCAATTGTGGTGGTTCAGTTTGGTGAGTATGCAAATATGTACACAGGCATCTCAGCCTCAGCTGATTCTTTCCCACCACTATAGGAACACCAGGGCCAAGCCGCTGTCCAGATATAAATTCCTTAACAAGCTGTAACCACAGACATAAACACCTCTCTTAAATGAGGAACGTTCTCATGATCTTGACACTGCAATTTCTTGGCCATTTCCCAACACCATTAAGAAACGTTCCCTAATATCACAAAGAATGCTTGAGGTTTTTCTGTTTTGTTTTTTGTTTTTTGTAAAGAGAAGTAGAGGAAGATAAAACTGGACTGCTGGGGAGACCAGTTTCATGCTGTGTGGGACTTCTCAGCTATATGCAGTAGGCAACATGTCTTTGGCACTACTTTCTGTCCTCTGGCTCATCATTCAAACTCAAGGTAAGCACTAAAATATTGACATTTTATACAAAAGTCAAATTATTTAATGCATTTTTAAAGTACCCTTGAAAAAGTAACATTCTTATATGACCCAAAGATCACTACTGTTTGCATTTTGGTATATTTACTCAATTTACATAAACTCCATGCTCATAGTCAAGGTGTTGTGATTCGTATAATAATTTTTCTTCTCATTCAATAATTCTCCTAGATCTATAATTTTATTTTCTAAAACATACAGCCCAAATAACACCAGAAATCAAGAATTTTCTCACCATCTCCAATGCTATCTTGAATAACATTGATATTTTATACTCTATAAAGAGACAATCATCTATCAAGACACAATTTGACCAAAAATTGTGCTAGGATGGATGACAAGGAAGACTTTTAAGTAAAATTAGCATTAGACATAATTACAGTATTAAGCAAAATTAAAACTTAATTGACCAACTGAACAGTTAAAGACTAAAATTTATTAAAATTTATTCTAACCTCAACCCCACAACTCTTTCCATTAACTGGATTCATATTCTCCATTGATTAAAAAAAAAACTCTTAGTAATATATTTATAAATTTCCTGTTTTCCTGTGTAATGAGTCCTTCTTGGGATAGCATCATAGCAGAACTCTGGGGTCTGACTAGGAGAAAATTTTTGCTTGATTATTTTCCTTCAGGTTCTCCACATCAGCCAGGTGTTAAACTGCTTGGTGTTCCCAAGGTCACCCTGTCTTTCAGTGGGAAATTGTCTCTAAGCATAGACATTTACCTTTGAAAATGGGAGCATTTAAAAATAAGACTGACCTTACATGAGTGATTGAACAATTAAAAGAAAAGGTAGATAAGGTACACCTATACCATCTTCCTAGACTGGTGCTGCATAATTTTATATATTTTATGTTATTCAATTTTTACATCAACCTCCATTTTAGATAAGTAAACTGATAGGAAAGCAAAATAACTTTTATAAGGTCATTTAGCTAGGACTTAAGACCACATCCTTTGGCTCTGATATCAGTTCTCTTCCTACTATATGCAAGCAAAATATAAAATTGTCTGTGTAATATTATACCAAGTGTATCAAGAAGGACATTTAGCCTACTTGCTATCTGATGCTCTGAAATTGCTCCAGCAGGGGATAACACAAACTTTGTTTCCTATGAAATCTGAAGTCTTGAGGGTAAATGCTAATGAGAGGAAAAACATAATGGTTTATTGTTACACTTAGAAATAAAAATAAAATAGTGGTTAATAGAGTCTTCTCTAATAATGAGGTATTATCTGCTTATGAAAAATTTGATTTTTGGAAGAGGTAGTCAGGGGTTGCACCACAAAGAGAAAAAGACATAGAAAGCAAAAACAGAGATCTCTGAGAACACTGAGAGAAAAATCCACAATTTTGAAGAGGACTACAGAGGAAGAGGGAACTGGCCTACAAGGCAGAATCCTGGCTCCTATAAGCTTCCATGTACTGAGCAATCCTCTGAAGAATTATTTCATCATCTCCCTGTCTTTCCAGAATAAGTAGATAGAGCAAATAAAATTTCTTTGTTATCAAAGTTGATAAGAAGGAAGAAGGACGACCTTGCTTTTCTTAATACTTACTTTCTGGATGGGAATTCAGCCTTCCATCCCATTTCAACAAGGCCAACCAACCCAAACCGAAACAAAACCCAAGACCTTTAAATGTATTATATTAATATTTTCTCTTTTCTTCTCCAGCAATAGCCATAAAGCAAACACCTGAATTAGAGCTCTATGAAGTAGTTCGTCCTAAAAAACTACACATTTTACACAAAAGGGAGATACAGAACAATCAGACAGAGAATGGCAAAGAGGTAAGTAATGTGAATGATAGTGGGATTTCACAATCAGAGAGCCAATAAAGGGTCTTTTTAGTAATAGAGGTGATGCCTAACAGTTTACTTTTGAAGCCGATATCCACAGCTTCTCTTTGTCCAGGAAAGAATACAGGATTCTCAGAATGCTTTTACATTTAAGCAGTAGGAAGAGAGTTAACTATTTCACTTGATCAGAAAAAATAAAGCTGCCTAGACATTTCTCTGTTTGGAGGCTAGAGAGAGAGCCCAGGAAGGAAAGCCATTTCTAGAAAGAAATGTTTCTTGCCAAGTTCACCAAACAGTACCCTCACCTCCTGCCGCACAGAATTGCCTTTTCCTTGACCATTTTGCTTATAATGGAGAATTCAACATTATCTCATTAATTAGCAAGATTTACAAAATTAAAAAAGATATTAACTCTTTGACTCTTACATTGTTGCAAATACTTATAATTTTTACCTTAATTCTTAGTAGTTCTTAGTTGGTTTTCTTTAGCATATTTTGTTTGGTTTTTTAAAGTAAGAAAAATATGTGCCTTATTATTAAACCATTAGTGATCCATTAGGATACACAGGACAGTATACTGTACAGTAGGGCAAATAATAAGTTCCTATCTTACATAGTAGAGTTAGTTTAATCTGTGAGTATTATTACTGCATTATTGTACTTTTTGGAAATCCATCTTAATGTACAATTTGTATTTTAATTTACATATTTTAAATATATAAGAGAACTATTTTATATTACAGGCACTTGTAATTATTCTATATATACTACATGTATTATTATATTATAATCATTTTAGGTAGACTCAGAAATATAAATTGATATCAGTATATTATTAAATATTATTTAGGAAAGATATGAACCTGAACTTCAGTATCAGATTACATTAAATGGAGAAGAAGTTGTTCTTCACCTGCAAAAAAACAAGTAAGTTGTAGTTCCTGAAAGTCTAATCACTAGATTATATTAACAGAATATGGAAAAATAAACCTTCTTGAGACTCTGTTTAATGTTATTTGAAGTAGAAGACATGAAACACGTTGAGTTTTAGATGTTATTAGATTGTGCTAATGTTAGCTAAGAGGGCTGTGGCTTTCTAAGGAAATTACATGCAAAGTATAAAGCAAAGAGAGCAACACAGATAAATATTTTTCTTCCTTAATACTTCTCCCAATTTACTGAAAGTCTTTTCTACCCATATGAACTCAAATTTTTGACGTGGCTTCCCATTATTTTTATAAGAACATATGTAAGGGTCATTCAGGGCACAGAGCCTTGAAATAGATCCCTGGGGATGGGGCTCAACCAAATTGTACATCTGTTAGTAAACTTCTCCCTGATAACAATGGTCTTTTATGCACGTTAGTCTTTGATGCAAAGAATACCAAAATAACCCATTTGAGGATAGAGAATTTTCAGCTGAAAAGTATCTGGGGGCAATTCTTCCCTTGAATCTAATGGGCGTAATTAATGCTTTGATTTGCTTCAGCAACAGAGTTCCAATGTTGGAAAAGGATTAATGAGTCAGAATGTCTGCTGTTTCTCAGTGTAGACATAATCATTCTTTTAGTGCTAAAGATCATCCAGGAACATTAGCCCTTATTACCACCCTAAGTGTATCTTGCAACTTTTTGAACTTTGCAGACATCTCCTGCGGCCAGACTACACTGAAATATATTACTCACCCACAGGAGAGGAAATCACTACAAGCCCTCAGGACATGGTAGGTTCTGAATACTTTCTGGGATTCTTTCTGGGATCTGCCACTTATGCTGTAAAATGCATAGGTCCGAGGACAATTAAAAAAGAAATCAAAGGACTTGGAAACAAGGTGCTTGTCTATGACCAACGAGACAACAGATGAAAAGATGAAAAAATCATAGTCAGCTTTTTTTTAAAGGTAAGGGTAGTAGGAGGCTTCCAAGTATTGCATTTGTAGAAGCAACCACAAGTCCACTTTCCTCTAAACCATCTTATCAAAAGGTTAGAAATATTCTGCCTGGTAGCTACTGAAACATCATACAGCTATTTACTATTTTTGAACAATATATGCATATATCCTGCCGTCAGAAATGGAATATTAATTATTTAATTAATATAATTTTATGTCTCATTAAACCACCATGCCATAGATAATGCCAAGGCCTAGATGTCAGACATAGAAAATCAATGCCTAAGATGGATTTTCCTGTAAGAACAGGAAGAGAATACAAAAAGACAATCATAGACTGTTACCAAGCTAAGCGGAATTTCTCAGAGCCACTCTTCTTGGGCACCCCAAACATGTGTGTCTCTATAAAAAGGCAAAACTCTGTCACAAAATGGCTCTTTGTTCCCCTCTCACATAAAATCTCTGGTTTCATGGATATCTGGATTTTTGCTAACACTTAATTCATGCTCAAGTGTGAATGGCTGATGATATCTTAATTTGGTACCTTTTCCAAGTCCTCTACAAGAAAATGTTTATGATGACAAGGTTTCTTCCAAATCAAGAAAAACATAGATGGAATTTCAGACCCTAAAACAAGTCAGTTTATTTTGAACAAGAATTTATTCAATAGCTTTGTTGGATCATTCTATGTAAGTGACCCCCTACTTTGCTTATATGGAGCACCAACCATGTATGACTGTCTAGTTGTGAACAAATCTGCTGTGGTTTTGATGCTGGTAAAGGGATTCCACTAACACGCCAATTAAAATGACAAGCTGGACTAGCCCCATGAGGGGCTTAGGAGTGGTAGTGTGACTTCTTGAGAACCCAGGAATCTAGAAAAATGGGTACCTCATTTTATTGATATGTGATGCACAGTGTCTTAGGGACTCACACAGGGAAGCTAAATTCTCAAAAGAGGGTCTTCAAACCTGAGAGCTCTCTGGAAGTACTGTTGATCCCAGAGGGGCTGGCCACCTCTCAGATGCAGCAACTACTTTCACCGGAGACCACTTAAGTTCACACTCCTTGGACTTTTCTATCATGCAATTAATGCCGGAAAGACAATTCAGCCATCACAGATGGAATTTCCAGGGTCACTAGTGGAACAGGTCATAAAATCTCTGAAGTTCTCACTGTTTTTGTTTCTGGGAACTGGTCTGGCTGCCACCACTATTTGAAAAACCTTCCTACATATTCAAAATAACAGCTTTCACCACAACTGTGATATGTTTATTCTTATAGTTAAAAAAAAGTATTTCTTTTTTTCCATCTTTAGGAACATTGCTACTATAATGGACACATACTAAATGAAAAGGATTCTGTTGCCAGCATTAGTACTTGTAATGGGTTGAGGTGAGTCACTTGCAAAAATATTAAACATTAAGTACAATTCTATTACACAGAATTGAGTCTTCCTGGATGTCATGTCTTATTATCTTGGTGAAATCTTCTGCATAGATAAAATGCTTTTAAAATGAAGATTAAAGTATCACACTTGCAATCATTTTATAATTATGTTTAACATGATTTTTAACAGTGTATGTGTTCACACGCACATGCTCGTGTGTGATATTTCTGTTTACAAAAATAATTCTTGCCAATTAGGGAAAATTTAGAAAGTAAGAAAAAGTACAAATAAGAAAATAATTACCACAAAATTGTGCTTAGGAGTGACTGCTATAATTAACATTTTGTCATGTTTGCAGCCTTTATGCATATAAACATGTATCTTTTACATGGTTGAAATATGAAATAAAATATATATAATTGTTCTTCTAACATGGTTCATGCCACGTGATATCATAAGCTTTTTCCCATATCATAAAATGCTTTCATAGACATAATTTTTAATGACTATCTATGCTGTATTTGTAGTCCTCTGTCATACTAATTCACTTTATATTTCTGAACTCATTTTCTTACTAAAAAGAAGAATTCTTTAAACTACTACTAGTTCCAACCTGTTCCTCTGGCTGATTTGCTTATGATTCTTTCTCTCCTTTGGGGTTCTCAGCATCTAAACTTTACTCTGTCCTCCATGATATTCCTAGGACCTGCCAAGAAATGTTTGCTAAGTGTTTAAATAAACTATGGACAAATATTTATTGAGCTTATGATATAAATTCTAAATTCTCTGGGATAGCTTCATCTTAGCAATTCTTGTTCAGAAATTTCTAGTAAATAATATAGACTTCATTTTACTATTGACAAGTACTGATTATAACTTAAATTAGCAAAAGTTAGCTAGAAAGCCTATGAATGAAAACTGTATGTGTGAGCTTATGATTTAGGTAGAGGTATGTATACTCTGTTCTGGTCATTATTGTGACTCTGTGTGGCAGAGAATCTTGAAATATGAGTCCCTGTATCTCACAGGGGATACTTCACACACCATGACCAAAGATATATGATAAAGCCTCTGAAAAGCACAGACCAAGAAGAACATGCTGTCCTCACATATAACCAGGAGGAGATAGACCTGGCTAATCGCACTTGTGGTGTAAGAAGTGTTGGCAGGAAACAAGGCCATATTCGAACTTCCAGGTCACTCAATAGCCCAGAGGTAAGTGTAGATTTCCTATGTCATCGTTTCTTCCAATTATCTCAACAATGATATATGGTATACCATTGTGTTCAACAGTTACTGGCATAGGTAAAGCCTATAATTCACTTACTTATTCTTTAACTTAATTTCCCTCTGGAAAAAAATCTCATTGCACGTTTTTCAATCTTTTAGGATAAAGATGATTATTAATGATGTTATTTTACTCTTTGTAAAGCAAGAAGACTTTCTTCAGGCTGAGAAGTACATTGATCTCTTGTTGGTGCTGGATAATGCCTTTGTGAGTATGAAATATGTATGCTTCTTGAGCAGTTAAGTCAATTTCTAAGTTTTCTTATCAAATGAGCAAAGGAAATAAGCTATTCTAGCTGAAAATGCACTCTGGCCACCTGATTTGAGTCACATCTTTTCTACCTGCTTTGCTGCCAATAGTTCTCATTCACTCTCCAACCCTTTAATATCCAGCTGCTGCCAATATATTCAGATATTGGAAGTATACTTAATACCAGATAGCTATAAGAAATCAACCATAATGATGAAAAACAAAAAAAGAATGGGTTATTGAAATATTTTCAAAATTCTCACCCTATTATGTAAATATAGAGTAGATACAAAACTATATGTATTTTACAAATTATATTTATATCCATAAAATACTATAATCTGTGATCTTAAATTAGCAAATATTGCTTTATAACCAAATTTTAATAATATTGAAATGGTTAGAAATATTGAAACTGTTAATTTGATTTCTTCAATTTAAAATGAAAAACCTTGAAATATATATGTTGCCTACTTTTTTTCTTACCTTTAAAAAGAATTTGTTGAAACACAGTGTTATATAAGTCAGACATGAATGAGTACACATTTACTTATGTTGAAATGTGTAATTTTTCTTAAAACGTTAAATCCTGTACCACGTCAACTTTTTTTAAATTATGTTTGCATTTCATATTTTACAGTATAACATGTATAAGGGGAATCTGACTTTGATAAGAAGCTTTGTGTTTGATGTGATGAACCTACTCAATGTGGTAAGATATTTGTCCTGTAAACATGTATTTCCACAGAGAAGCTTGGGGCTTCTCTACAGTTTCACCAAGTAAGGAGTTGGGAGGGTCACAGTGGCTTAATGTCAGGAGTTTTGGGAAATTTAGCAGGCAAGGATTAACATCAAGGTAAAATCACATGTACTATATAGCAAAGGCAACTTCTAGGATTTCTATTTTCAAAACGCAATACACTTATCCATCACTTATGGTGAACAAAAGATTTAAGACAATAAAGAAATCTCAAACATTTTCATGAAAAAAAAAATGCTCTTCCCACAGATTTATAATACCATAGATGTTCGAGTGGCATTGGTAGGTATGGAAATCTGGTCGGATGATGATAAGATCAAGGTGGTACCCAACACAGGTGACACCTTTCACAACTTTCTGGATTGGCATCGTTCTAACCTGGGGAAAATGAGGATGCATGACCATGCACAGCTACTCAGGTGAGCAGATGCTGACCAGTGCCGGGCGTATGAAGGCAGAGTGGAGAATGATCCCGAAAGGTTCTTGGCAGAGATTTCTGTGCAATTGTATCTCCCCAGTCTGTTGTCAGAGAGGCTGAAGTTCTACCGTTAGGAACTCACCTGTAAGAATGTGGAGACCCATGTCAGGTTTACTAAAATGGACTCCTGGAGGTGGTGATCATCTGCGATCATATAATGCTATGGAATAGCAGAGGCTTTTCTGCAGCCTAGTGAATATCAAAAGGGTGGAGCAACATGGGAAATCTGAAACATAACTGACAAAAGCTAATGGTTCCAAAGACTCAGCTTGTGACAACAGACCTGTAATTTTCACTACAGTGGAAATGGCTTCAGCAATGGACGTGTAGGAATGGCAGCCTCGAACTCCTTGTGTTCCCCGGCTTCGGTTGCTGTTATTGAGGTTTGTAAACTCATAGTGAGGCTCCCTGTGACTCTGTGTCCTCTATGAAGACCAGAATGGTGCCTTATACAGAGTTAACACAAAGAACATTTGCTGAGTCAGTAAATAAAAGTAGAAAGGAACCTACTGGTAAATCGTTACACTGAAGATACCTTGGATTATAAAACAAAGTATCTCCTTACATTGGCCCTCCCCGAAGTCCTCATTCCTTAGTTGGTATTAGGGAATAAGAACAGGACGATTGGAACAGAAAGGGAACCCAGATGCCCTCTGTGGCCTGAGCCAACTTCAAATTAATTATCTTCAGTATCAATGGTCAGAGAGGTCGGAGAATGTGCATTTTGATGTCATATGGCCAAGTACTACCAAGGTCAAGCATTATGACAATAATGCTTTTGGAGGCCTTTGAATACATAGTATGGTACTTCTTATGAAGAATGTAATTACCTTAATTTACTCATCGTTTACCAAGAACTCCTCGTTAGCTCAGAAAATATTTATTGAGCGTTGATTCAATGGTTGGATTCACAGGAGCCAGCCACTTCAAATGTTAATTCAACATTTTACAATAGCCAATGACAGGGAAAGGAGCTTAATGTCTCATTATTTTTCATCTGTTGAACTATTTTATTAAACTAGGAAATAACTGAATATAAGTAATAGATGTTTCTCTTTTTTTTTCCAGGCTAAGAAAAAGAATAATGTGGCTCTTGTAGGAGTGATGTCACATGAGTTGGGTCATGTCCTTGGTATGCCTGATGTTCCATATTATACCAAGTGTCCCTCAGGGAGTTGTGTGATGAATCAATATCTGAGGTGAGACCTTGTCACCCTTGAGAAAAAATATGTATTTCTTAAATCTTAAAGAATTCAGATGCAGTCTATATAGTGAATGGATATTTTTTACCAAGGGCTGTGAATCCCATTAATTCACCCTATAGCGTCTTGATGCACAGGTTTGACCAGCTTATCAGGGCTAATTATTTAAGATTTCCAAATATGCCAAGTTAGAGATTATGAGTATGGTAACCATGTTATTTTAACTTAAAATAATTTTAACATTAAATAACATATTTTTTAATAATAGCCAAGACATGAAAACAACTTGAGTATCCATCAATAAATGAATGGATTAAGAAAATGCTACACACACACACACACACACACACACAGTGGAATGAAATCTTGCCATTCATGTCAACATGGACGGACCTAGAGGGTATTATGCTAAGTGAAATAAATCAAACAGAAAGAGACAAATATCACATTATTTTACTTATAAATGCAATCTAAAACATAAAACTAATGAACAAACAGACAAAAACAGAAATATACCTATAAAAACAGAGAATAAACTGGTGGTTGACAGTGGGGTAGGAGTTGGGCAAAAGAGATGAAGGGGATTAAGAGGTACAAACTTCTATTAAATAATAATATGTTTTCTAAAAATATGTATCTAAGATGATGACAACATTCTTATATATCTTCATCACTAATCACTAAATCCATTTTTATGTTATTAATTAGCTTCTAATGCCAGTCACTTTGCAAGGACTTGGAATAGAAAAATAAAAAAGAATACCTTGCTCTTAAAATCCTCATGAATAGGAAGACAAATATATCCAAATATATCCTAAGTCTGCAATTATTCCCTTTCATTAATTCATTATTATTATCTCTTACCTCTCAGCCCTCAATGGTGATCACAAATGGTGAGGCTCATTCATCATTCCTGCCATTTAGGACAGTACTGAATCCACAGAGGAATTTAAATTCTTCCAGGTCTACAAGCTCAGTGTTTAGGGAAACAATTTTCCAACTAGCGTAGTATTTATGCTCTTTTGCCCTCCATATATAACATAGTGCAATCTTAAACAGATATTGAATTTGGAATTTCCATTGAACCAGGTGATATAGTTAGAGAAGTCAGATTCTCATGTTAATTTATCACTAGATTTCATGATTTCTCTTCTGGTTGCAGTTCAAAATTCCCAAAGGATTTCAGTACATCCTGCCGTTCACATTTTAAGAAATACATTTTATCTGAAAAACCAAAGTGTCTACTGCAAGCACCAATTCCTAAAAATATAATAACGAAACCAGTGTGTGGGAACCAACTTCTGGAGTTAGGAGAAGACTGTGATTGTGGCTCTTCTAAGGTATGAAAATATCTGCAATTTAAAAATTTATTAGAGAGCTATTGCAGCATGAGAATTATGCTGTTGTCTTTTTCTTTTCCTTCTTCAAGGAATGTTCTTTTGGAAATTTTTTCTAAAGACAAACATGGCATCATGGTAAAAAAATAGGCTTGCACTTGCAGTTTTCTTCATTTTTTTTTAAAAGACTTTATTTATTTATTTATTTATTTATTTATTTATTGCAAACTAGGGGAGGGGCAGAGAGGAGGGAAAGGGGAGAGAGAGAGAATCCTAAGCAGACTCCACACTGAGCACAGAGCCTTACGTGGGACTCCATCTTGCAACCCTGAGATCATGACCTAAGCTGAAACCAAGAGTCAGATGCTCAACCTACTGAGCCACCCAGGTGCCCCACACTTGTGTTTTTAATACTGATTTTAGACACATTTTGAAAAGCCAGGATACACTTATGACATGATTGTATAAAGTTCAATGTAAAGAAGCAAATCGTTAACCATAACATGTCACTTACAACCTTTCCTAGACATATTGGTCAGAAATTCTTAAATCAGCTAAAGTCACAGTTGATCATTTGTTGAGCAAAAACACTTACAGATCTAGAAGCAAGGTCTCTCCATAGAGAGAGCTGGCCTTTCCTCACCAAGCCAGTGTATAAGCCAGGCAGTAAATGAAACAGAGAAGGAGAGAAAGAAAAATCACATACACCTGTAGAAAATAGGTTATTAATATAAAACATCTAAGATAATTACTATAATTCTGCTAATCTTTATAAAAATCTGGCCCTGCAAAGTATCAATGTACTGTAAAGAATGTCTCTGATAAATATTTGCCATCAATCCCACACTAGTTTCTAAGAGAACATTCTGAGGTCCTAGCAATCTTCTTTTACTTTTAAGACTGAAAAAAACGAGTTACTATTTGAAGAAATTTTTTTATGTGTCAATCTGCAAAATAAATTTTTATGTACACCATTATCTCCTTTATTACACACAACAAACCTACAGAATGGGTTTTGTTATTATCCCAATTTAGAGAAGTAAAACTCAGGAAAGTTAAGTAACTAGTTCCAAAGATCCAAAGCCAGTAATGAATGAAGCCTGTGGTAACCCAAGATTAATTCATTACTTTAAGAGGCCGCATGACAATGGGGAGGGCATACATTCTCTCTATGCTTCGGTTATTTATTCAGACTTTTTAAACTGTTGAATTACTTTAGAAGATTTCATAATGTAACTTAATCATTTGTAAAGAGTATTACAAATATTCTTTTAGTTATAATGAAATATGAAATAATGCAAATGATTTGGTGCTTTATAATAAGTTAGATATAAGTTTATCTCATTCCTCCTTGCTTGCATTCCCATATGGCTTCTTGGGTGAAAAGCATTTGAAATTGTTCACAATCCGGGGTACTTCTGATTTCAGCAGTCCCAGGGCCTATAGTCAGTGCACACTGACAAAGAGAGTCAGAGAGAGAGAGAAACACTATGTGATGTGTAGGATCTAAAATTGTCTAAGTATATCAGCCAGCTCCTGTAATTGCTTCCATTTTGTGTTGATTTTCTTCTTAAGGAGTTGAATAAAACTAGAGTTCAGGCTTATGAACAGCTGAATTTTATATAGCTGTTTTCCTACCTAAAAAGTAGTTTATAAACTTTATATAGTATCTTTTAGTGAATAATCCAATTTTCCATGATCTCATATGCTATTTTACTATTTTTATGTACCCATTTAGGTCTATTTCTAGATCTTAAAAACAACCATTCTGCTGATCTACCTAGATATTATCACACACTATTTTAATGACTTTAACCATGCAATGCATTTTAATATCTGCAGTGGCAAGTGTGTTCATTTCTTTTTTTCTTTTTTTTATTATTATGTTAATCACCATACATTACATCATCAGTTTTTGATGTAGTGTTCCATGATTCATTGTTTGTGTATAACACCCAGTGCTCCATGCAGAACGTGCCCTCTTTAATACCCATCACCAGGCTAACCCATCTTCCCACCCCCCTCCCCTCTAGAACCCTCTGTTTTTCAAAGTCCATCGTCTCTCATGGTTCGTCTCTCCCTCTGATTCCCCCCTTCATTCTTCCCCTCCTGCTATCTTCTTCTTTTTTTTTTAACATATAATGTATTATTTGTTTCAGAGGTACAGATCTGTGATTCAACAGTCTTAAGTGTGTTCATTTCTTGAGGTGGAATTTGCATCATCATTCTTCAGTGTTCATTCTCCCATATAGCTCTTGGTACTTTTTTTTTTTGTCAGTTTGCTCACAAATACAATTGAGATTCTGATTGAAATGCATGAAATTCATATTTTTCTCCGAGGGCCACTGGGATTTTCACAATATGATTGTTTTATTGTTTTAAAGATTTTATTTATTTGAAAGAGAGAGAGACAGCAACAGAGATAGCAAGAGAAGTACAAGCAGGGTGAGAGGCAGAGGGAGAAGCAGACTCCCCGCTGAGCAGGGAGCCTGATGTTGGGCTTGATCCCAGGACCCTGGGATCATGACCTGAGCCAAAGACAGATGCTTAACCAACTGAGCCACCCAGGCACCCCACAATTTGATTGTTTTAAAAGACTAATTGTCTTTTGAGTTTCTCAGAAAAGTTAAATATAATTTTTCACGTAGTTCTTGCATATGATGAAGCTTATTCTGAAGTATTTTCTATTTTTCTTTTTGCTATTAGTGTGTGTAATGTTTACCTTTTTATATTAGGTTCTACTTTATTACTCCTTTTGATGTTATTTTATTATTACCTTAAAAAGTGATCTTAGTGACCCATCCATTGTTTTTAGAGTTGATTCTCTATTTTTTCCTAGGTCAAATATTTTATTACATATAAAGAATGAAAATGTGATTTATACCTTCCATTATACTTTCATATCTTTTCTTTGTCTCATAGTATTTGTCAGAATTTTCATAAAAATATAGACTATAAATAATCCATGTCTTACTGTTTATTTTATTAGATATATTCTTGTTATTTATCAGCCAGATTTTCTTTCTTTATAGATTATCTTTACTTTCTAATCTTTGCCATCTATCACAATAATATTAGTTGTTTTCTACCCTCAGTCTCTTAATGTTATGGATGATATTACTTTATTCTGTATTGTGGAGACACCCTTGTATTTTTGGTGAAAAAAAACACTGCATAGTTGTAATGGAAGAGTTATTATATTAATAAACTGCTGTTTTGTTAATATTTTATTCAAGCTTTTGCATTTATATTCAAAAATGAGAATTACGTATGTACATGTATGCGTGTGTGCCTGTGTATATATATGGATGCATGTGTATACATGTGAATGCACATGTGCATGTATGTAGGTGTGTATGCATGCGTATATGTGTGTGTGCCTGTGTATACGTATGGATGCATGTGTATACATATGAATGCACATGTGCATGTATGTAGGTGTGTATGCATGTGTATATGTGTGTGTGTGCCTGTGTATAGGATGAATGTGTACACATATGAAT